TGATAACTATGGATGCAGAGATGGGTATTACAAAATATAACTTCACTCTAGATGAAAGTCGTCGTGGAAATTATAATATGATTAGATGAAAATCATATTTCCGAAGATCCTCAGCTGTCGTCAGCCTATTGTTCTCAAAGCAATTGTTTTCTAAATACACTGATAATTATCAAAGTTTGTTTTCAGTAAATGTAATTTGTTATTTGTTTAACAATAAAAAAATATTTGCAGCTAATATAACCTTTAAATAATGTTATTTCTAAACTATATAACAGATGGTCGCCAACTCCCATTTAACCGTCGCCAGAAAGTTTTCCCAAATGGGACCGTTATGATTAAGGAACTCCAGAAAACAAAAGATGATGGTATCTACACCTGTACAGCTACTAATGACAAAAGAAAGAGCGCCTCTGGCGACGTTCAGGTTAAAGTCAAAGGTTAGTCTTCAGAAAGGTACGCCAGTCCCATACACTAAAAAAAGAAGGCAAATTGTAAATTAATAAAACATTGTGTTATTTCACATCGCATAACACAAATAACACAAGTTTATGTGTTTTCTAATAACACAAATGACGTGCAATTTTCAATTCAATATTGTGTTTGCTGTTTATTATGAAGTCACACTTTATAGTTTATATGTAAATTGTATGAAGTTAACAAACATAATGTGCATTAGCTAACACATCTGTGTTCTGACTGATTACTCTACAATGATTGTATTTTTTTAAACTTGAACTTGTGTTGTTTCCATTCAAACAACATATCTGTATTCTACAGAACACACGTTCTGTTGTTTTTATCACAAAATTTTTCTTTCCCTACAGTATAGTGTTGCTATTTCCATTTTTACTCGTTAGGTTTACGATAAGATTTTTGCGATAATCCTACAAAGAGTAATTATAGGTGATAATCTAAAAACTAAAACGTTTTAGTAGAGAATTAAAATTTTTTGTTTATAGGTTCACTACACGTTATTGTTTTAATATTATATAAGCTTAATTTGTTTAAAAAAACACGTTTTTTTGACACATTTGTTTTTGTGCTTTAGATGCCAGAAAGTGAAAACGAATTTAAATATTTGTTATGGTGTTCATCATAATAGGAAATATAATTATGTAGAGATATACACTTGATATATATATCTAATATAGATATTTGGTACTTGCAGTAAAGCCTCTTGTATTGCCGTTCGTCTTCCCCGAGAATGTGGAACGTGGGATGAAACTGAGTGCAGTATGTTCTGTGGCGGTTGGAGATCCTCCAATCAATGTTTCCTGGATCAAAGACGGAACAACATTGTTGTCGAGGGGGGATGTTTCTGTTAAGACTTTTACTGAAGATGCTATGCTCTTGTCTATTGAAAACGTAGGACTTCAACATAGTGGAGACTACACCTGCGTAGCCAGGAACGACGCTGGAGCTGTGAATATCACTCGCTCTTTGGTTGTTCACGGTATGGATCAATGAATAGCAACAAAAACACTTGAACCACACAATAACAATATCAAAAGAAGGCAACTGTTTTACTGTTATGTTAAATTCGAAGATAACCCAGTACATTAGCTGCAGAATGGGAAGGCACCATAAAATATCTTAAACATTATTCGAAACTTGGTATCATATTAACAAAGAAAATATACAATGGAAATCATAGTCAGTCCAATCAGTTTTAGTCAATGTTAACATTCACAGCGGATCAGATGAGATTTGACATGGACATGATCCTAATATAAAGAATGTTTGGGGAGAAGAAACCCATCACTTATTAACCGCATGTTGTCTCCTTCGAATAGGAAAGTATAGTGTAGGTAGTGAGTGGGTCTTCCGTGTCAAATGCCCCTAATGGAGTATAAATCCATGACTACCATCTTATGTAATCAACCACAGCACTACCATTCTAATCTAGTCAGAGAAATAAGACATCCATCAGATGGTG